TTGATTTTGTAAATTAAAGAAACTTCAATGATAAATACCTGTTTCTCTTAGATCGAAATATCTGCAAATAAGTGCAAATTTGAAAAAATTATTGTTTGTAAGTGAGCCATGTTTGGAAGATTTTACCTTTAACTCAGAAAAAAACACCGGTGTTTCATGCTCTATTTCATTACCATAAATTATTAAAATAACTAAATATATTATTTTTTACTGATTTTGTCCTAAATTAATATACAATAATGAAAAAAGTATGAATAATATGTTTTATAAAAATTCTGCATCAAAGAGTTAAGTTTAAGCCCCAAACCGTTGCAATTATTAACTAGTTATTGAAAATGATATCATTATATCAAAAGTTATTAAGGTGTTCGCTTTTATTTTTGCGCACTGTACTTCGTTTCATTTATTAAACTTTTGTAATGAAACTAAATTAAATCATCACCTTTCATCAAACTTTTCATGGAAGAGCTTTTATCAAAGAAGCATTAACCACTTTATCTAGTACTTACTAATTACTTTTCCACTTATGTTACAAATTTTTTTGTTCTATTGGAAACTGTGCCTTCGATGTTAATTATCGAAAACGTTTTCTTCTGAATATTCTTTAAGGGTGTCATCCATGCTGTTTCAACACCTCCTTAAAATGAGTAGTTAATTGGACACATTGACTAGAATGCTTTAGAACAAAACTTAGTCCCCCTCTTCCTTTTTTATTATTTTGGAAGTAAAAAATGTTTTGATAAAGAGATTTTGATATGCCATGAACATAAAAGGCGTTACGATATCTATGCTTATTATGAATCCTCTTCGTCAACATCATGCTTTGAGATTTTAGTTTTAAGTGGATGCTAATTTAAAATGAAAATTATGAGAAAACTGAAATATTTCTATAGAAAAAATTCGAGGTTCCCGAAATACTTTGCTAATTTAATGAGCAAAAGATATAACTTTTCAAATATTTTGTGTTTAGTGTTTTGTATTTATAGTTTAAACTAGCTTAAATAAGAGTCGTTGTAGCACGGTGGCTAGCGAATCCGACTCCGGTCCAGAGGTCTTGGAGTTCGATTCTCGCCTCCACGAAGACCCACAGCATACATGTAATACACGTGCTCGCAAACTCTGTGAAATCAAAAGTCCTGTGGTCGATAGCTGAGCAAGACCATTTGTACAGATAATATTCCCTTCAGATCCATGTCTAAATAGAGGAAGTGGCCTCGCGACTGATTGGTGCTGCCATTTATCCGTGAGTGTCTGTGCTAATACGTACTTTAAACCTTGCTGTACTCTCTTGTCAAACGAAAGGCTCACCTTCCTGACTTAATTCGCAAAAGACCAATGGCTGACGAACTTGGCTTATCCAAGTGTCACAAAAATCAACAAATAACACTAGCTTAAATAAATTTTCGACTGTCTAAATAAGTTCGTATCGTTTTCCAGTTTTAATCACTTTATGCTCAAACTTGAAATCTGCAGTTTCCTACTGGTGATTCGCAAAACCCGTGTCTATTCAAAATATAAATTTTAAAAAATTATATAAATATCTTAAGATTTATAAAGCTCAAATTTTTTTTGTGGTACTTCATTGATTTTACTTGAAATACCAGGACAATTTTCTTCAAGATATTGCCATAACTCATTGGAATTGTTTTAAGTGGTCCATAGGTAAGATTTGATTGAAAGGTCTTCGTCTGAGATGAACGTTCGTCTTAAATGAAGTTCGTCTTTTCTTTCGTAAACAAAGCTCAATGTTTTCGCTTAAGAAAAATGACAAAAATGGTCATAAATTAAAATTCGCGTTAAAAAAGTGGATATAGCTTAATGTCTAAATACATAAAATTTGCTTCATATGTGTGTTCAAAAAATTGACACGAAGTTCAAAGTGCGTGTTTAAGATAACGGACATAGCTTGAAATGTGTGTTTCAAAAGAGACCGAAATGCTCGCTAAAAGAGAAACACACGTTTTAACACGCTTTAAACACGTATTTCAACCCTATATCTCTTTTCTTCAATACGCATTTTGAGTTTCGCTCATTTTTCACAAGCGCATATCAAGCTACGTCCATTTTCCATACGCGCATTTTAAGCTAAATGCATTATCTTAAACGCGTATTTTGAGCTTTATCCATTATTATTATCAAAAACGTGTATTTTAAGCTATATCTATTATCTTAAACGCGTATTTGGAGCTATATCCATTTTCTTAAACGTGCATTTTGAGCTATATCCACAAAATAAAATGATGGATAAATGCTTCTCTTTATATTTATTTTGCGCAAAACCATCGCAACAAGCCGCAAGTTTTCTCTAGTTTTGTAAAAGTTTTGCCCTGTTGTATGTATTCCATAAAGCGAGTTTATATATAAACTTATCAATGTACATTCAGGGAAAAATTAGAGCCGGAAATTATCGAAACTTAATAGTAAAGCTGAATTAGACTTACAGTTAACTTTCAAATAACTTTTCGGCTTGACAATAGTACTCGCTCTTTTCACTGAATTTATGCATATAAAATGGCGGAAAAAATGCGGCTTTCATATGAAATAACAATTTATGTTGACCATAAATTCCTTAAAATAATGAATAAAACAGTCCGAAATCCGTATTTTGCGAATGATGGTCCTTTATTACCATGCATTAAGATTAAGCGATTATAGCATTGCTTTCTCCTCATGGAATGCCAGCAGGAATAGAGAACGATGCTGAAAAGACCCCTTTTCCAAAGCATCCCCCGTTACTTTGGCAACGGATGAGTCATCTCCATCTTTCAAAGCTTTTCCCTCCTCCCTCCGCGGGGATGCCCCCGCTAAGTTGCTGTAGATGAAGTGATGCAGGAATTGGCCGCATCGATTTGTTCCTCCTTCTTTTTAATCAAAGTTGCGTCCGCTGTGTATCATGGAAAGAATTTAATTTCCTGGTTTTCCATCATTTCCGTTAAAATTTTTAAAGACAAAGCTAATTTTAAGCTTTCAATTTTGTTACGCTACTCATATTCTTGGGCTTTTTATTTTTTACTTTATTTAAACATTAGCAAAATGTGTGCAGTGCTAGTTTTGGTTGTCCAACTTTTAATCATTTTTAATTCTCTGCTTGAACGCTTTCATCTTAAGATTTTTATTTTTAAAAAAAAATTTCTTTGTTTAATTAAAAAGATAAAAATAAAAAAAATATTATGCAACGCCTTGCAATCAAGGACTCCTGCAGAAATTTCCTCATGGAGATACAACCAGTTATAATATTTACTTATTAGTTCTGAAAAAAAAATTTTTTACTCGTATTTCGAATTTCTTACTAGCAATTTTACTAAATTACACTTTACAATCTGCAAAGTTTTGACCCAAAATTTAATTTTTTAATTACATTTAAATAGAAAATTAGTAAAATTGGGCTTTGTTTAATTTTTTTGAATTAAATATGATATGAACGCAAAAGATTTTTTCATTTTTTTTTTTTTTTTTTTTTTNTTTTTTTTTTTTTTTTTTTTTTTTTTTTTTTTTTTTTTTTTTTTTTTTTTTTTTGTAATATTTTATTAAAAAACTAGAGGGCTTATGGGCACCGATGACTGGAATCTTCTTTAAGACAAAAGTGACTAGGATGTAAAAGTTTTCATTTTTTTTTTTTTAATTAAAAACAGATATGTTTGATAAATATTTTATTTTTACGAATAGATGAAAATTTAAAATTATATTTTCTAATATTTCAAACATTTATTACACTTAATGTTATTTATTTTATATTTATTGTTCGAATTATCAAATCGATTTATTTTACTTCTGGAAAAAATTCAATTTCACCTTCATTGGTATTCTAAAATTTAAAAGAAAGAAGTTGAGTTAAGTCTAGAATAAATCGTGATGTTTCAAATACTGAAGATACTCAAAATATTAAAATGCAATTAAATTATTGCAAAATTGCTTCACTGCGTTAATCCTCAGTAACCCTATTATAATTGTTTAGCAATTTGACATTTTGAAGGAAAAAAAATTAGCATATGAAACTTCCTGGTTTATTCTAGGTTTACCTGAACTAACTTTTTCTATAATGAGTTTTCAAATACTGAAAAAATTGTTTTCTATATATAAAAATGCAATTAAAATATTGCAGGATTGCTTCCCTGCTTGCGCAATCGTCAGTAATCCTGCCATAATTGTTTTTGCAATTTGACATTTTGAAGGAAAAAATTTAGCATATGAGCCTTTTTGGTTTATTCTAGGTTTACCTGAACTAATTTTTTCAATACTTTAAATTACTTACATATTTGCCATTTCTACTGCCGTCTAGCGTCCTTTTAAGACGTGTATCCTCTCATAATTTTCATTGCTCTTAATTATTTAAAGTCTAATATAAAAGATTTTTATTATTTAAAATAATTACGAGGCTGCGAACTCTGCAAATTTTATTTTAAAAAAATTAAATTTTTTGATATTTTTAAAACAAAATTCTATTTTAAAAAATTATTAAAACTTTTTAAGTTAAAAAATGTAGTATTTAAAAAAAATTCTATATTTTTTTAAATTATTTAAAAAAATATAGTATTATTTAAATATAATATAGTTTTAATTAATTTTTAAAATAAAAAAAACATAGTTTTGTATATTTTGTTTTGTAGTTTCTTTAACTTTCAGCTTAACACTTTTTCATCGAAAATAGATATTAAAGCTTATGTATTTGCTTCAGAAATAAATAAAATTGATCAATAGATTAAGTTCTCTTTGTAAACCTTGACCTACTAAACGAAATTTTCTTAAATCGATAACTAGTAGACGTCACAATTTAATCTAGATTTCCCCACATTCCATTTAATTTTTTTATACTTATATTTATTGTCCAGGACCTAAATTATAAATCAGGCGTCGGATTCCAGACATTGATTTTTTTTTTATTCTTAGAAATTGTGTGAAACGAAAGTGTTTTTCACTATCTATAGAACTTCAATTTATATTGTTTTGTATTAGTTAAAGCACTGTCACTCAATTGTTAATAGGTTGTTTTTGTATTTCAGCTACTGAAAGGTGGAGCTTATTAATGACGCCAAGCTATTTCGAGCAACCCCCTCCTAGACATAATCATTCTTGCATAGTCCATGATGAAGCCATGTGGATTTATGGTGGCCTAACAGATTTACAACCTAGAAATGATTTCTGGAAATGGGATTTTGGTAATTATCCTGTCGATGGTTGCTTATCGAATTTATATTATCAAGTCTCGTTTTGAATAAGCGCTCAATAACTTTTGTTCTAACAATCGGATTTTCACGAACTAAATGTCAATCTTAATTTATCCAAGCCATTTTAGGTAAACATTCTTTTTTAGACTCATCTTATTATCGTCCCGCAGTGGACTGATCGTTAAGACACTGTTCCCAGCAGATCACTGAAGTCAAGCATCACTGGCTACGGTCAGTGTGCGGGTGACCACTTGCATCAGTCTGCGTAGGGACTGAGGGTGTGCGGTACTGGCCCTCGTTAAACTGTTCTACCGTAAAGTGCTCGACTTCGCGTGCAGGTCGTCGAGCTACCGAAGCGGGGGTGCCATCCCCTCTGCAGAGGATCAAAATTGTGCTGGCATGTCTTCCGATCATTCTCAGGGGTGTTTCCCAGAACGTCGCCAATAGCCCATCGTGCAGCTCTAGTGCGACGTAAATTAACTACAACTACAACAATCATGATTTTGTATTAATTTAGATCAAAATAAGTGAAATATAATATATTTAGCATTTTAATAATTTATAGTTATAAAACACTGTTTTTTTTTTGCTTTAAATCTTTCTTTGTAAAATCTTTCTCTTTGTAAAATCTCTTTGTAAAATCTTTCAAACACGGCTCACCTCCAAACAATAGTTATTCAAATTTGCTGTCATTTAGATCTAAGAGAAACAGTTATTCGTCTTTGAAATTTCTTTAAATTACAAAATCAATTATTAATAAATTCTTGAATATGAATAGAGAAAAAAAAAATTCTAAACTATTTTTTGGGGATTTTATATTTTCGTACAAATCCAATTCCGATAATTTAACCGATTTTTTAGCTACTATTAGACTGTTTTTTATAACTGAAAAGTATCAAAAGATGTTTTTATTTATAATTGAAGTGTCAGAAAAAATATATAAAAGGGACACCGGTGCCAAGATCACACCTTTAAACCGGTGCCGGTTTAAAGGTGTGATCTTAAGTATGCTAATTTATTAGTATTAACTATTAATTAAGTTATGGAATCAGACACAAAAACGTACTTTCTCTGAATAAACATTCCTTTTACATATTATAAACATTTTGTGGTGGATTTGAGTTTTTGACTATCAAAATATGGGGATATTGGTGATTTGGTCCCAATAGTTTAGTCAATAAAACGGTCAGAAGTTTGCACTCCTTTAATATTAATTTCACTTTTTTAGCATAAATTTAGAAAAAGTATGTTTATTCCAAGAAAATACGTTTTTGTATTAGATTCTATAATTAATTAATAGTTAGCATTAATTAACATACATTACGTCACCCCTTTAAACCATTAAGATTTACACTGAATTGGTGAAATTCCAGTGATTAGAACAAAAGTTATTGAGGATATCTTTTATTTTGCGCATTGTGTATCTTTAATGTTTTACTTATTGCAGGCCGGGATAGCCTGGTCGGTATGGCGCTGGGCCTATGTCCCAGAGTTCGTGGGTTCGAACCCCACCGGCCCAAGACTCGCCGTGTAGTAAAGTGACTGATGCACGTTAAATCTGTCGAGTCGCAGAAGTCCTTCGATGTTCCCATAACAAATCAATACCTCTGGGGCTACTGGATTGGAAATCGATCGTTGAATCTCTGATTCAGGTTAAAATTGCGATCTGTGGATGAATGTATGAATGGGTCCGCCCTATAAACGGGTGCGACGTATGGTGTGGCAGAAGTCGAATTTTTGGCCATAGGTGGCGCCACTGAAAAGCAAGAAACGCACATCTGCCTTAAATTTGCTCGGTTTCACCAAGCAGGCTTGCCCGTGTGGCAAGTGGCATTAGAAACAACAACAACTTATAAATTTCATTCGACTCAAAGTGAAATTAGTACAATATAATTAAAAGACTGATGAACTGTAAATGTAAAAATTAAAATTTACCCTGTTTCAAGACATTATTATTATGTTGCACTACTGTTATGCCTTTCTGTTCATTCTGTTTTGAGATGATAGCTAAATGAATATAAATTAAATAATAAATCAATATAAAAACCAGTTCACAAATTATTTTATGATTTAAATGTTTATTCACATACTTTTATTTTTAAATTCCTTTCAAGCTGCATCAAATTGTACAAAAAATTTTAAATGTTTTTTATTTTTATTTATCTATTTTAGTTTAAAGTTCTTTGAAATAATCATTGTGTAATTGTGTATATTTTTCGTTTCACATAATATTATATGTTCACTTCAACTTTTCTTAACAACATAATTTTTTACCTTATAACTTTGAACCCTTTTGATTTCAAAACAATCCTTATTTTTACCTAGACTTTTTTGCTATAATAAATAAACATACATTAATTATTAATGTTCAGGCATTATATATCCCCAGTTTTTAGTTAAATAACTCAAGATAATTTAAATTAATGATCAATTTTTAATGTTTGTTTTATTTTACTTTGAAAGTTTAAGTAACTATTTTTAAACTGTGTAAAATGTTTTTTTTTTAATTCAATCAAAATGTTGTGCAGAAAATTCGTTAAGTAAACTATTTAAATGTTGGTCCTTTCTAGGAGTATATTAAAGCAGTTAATAGATTACATCTGTCATTTATTTAAATATTTATTCACACTTTTCAATTTTTATGTAGACGATTTATTAAACCCAGACCCCTTAAAAGAGTGTATCTTATATAAAATTAGCTCAGTACCGTATTTTATCCAAAGTTTTTGTGTTAGTTATATTTTATTTAAAATATTTCTTATTAGAAATTTATTTTTCATACTAATTCATGGGTTAAAATACAAATAAAGGATTCAAATGCAGCGGAAAGTCCTTTATCCAGAATCATCGGGACTTTGACAAGTAAAGAAAATGGATTTTCCTAAATAGTTAGCCTAAAACGATAAAAACATGCATTGATTGATGCATAGAATAAATAAATGACAATTAACATTACTTTTCATACAATAACATTTTGTTTCTAAAATGACATTCAACTATCTAAATAATTTGCAGAGCAGATATTCAGATAAAAATATCATTAAAAAGCATTCTTCTATTTAGAAAAGTAAATCAATCCTATCTAATGAAAAATACTAATACAGAGTTGAGAAGATTCTTTTTACATACTAAAAACATTTGTAAAATATTTCTAGTAATGTTTTTAAGTGTCCCATTGAAGCTGTGTAAATGCTTATACACGTATACATAATATTATGTCACAGATTGCAAACATAACAAAAAAAAATAAATGAAGGTTAAAGAGATTTGTTAATTTTGATTGCTAAAAAATGTCTGGGCAAATTGATGTTTCTATAAAAGGACGCCTGAATCTGTAATTTGTACTGTAAGATTTAAACATTTAGTCATCAAAGTGAAATATGTTTGATACTTGAGTGTTTTAATTTGATGAAATGATTTATTATTGATTACAATTCAATACTGTATTATTATTAACTTTTATAATATCAATAGGTGCCCACCGCTGGTCTAGAATAAAAACTCAACGAGGACCAGGTGAATTACATAGTCACGCAGCAGTCAAAGCACTGGGCTTTATGTATGTTTTTGGAGGAGAGAGATCAGGAGTTGCCCTTAATGAATTATGGAGATTTCATTTTAGTAAGACACATCAGTTATTTTCTATATTTATTTCCCTTTTCTTCATGAATATTTCCATTTGAATACTTCTTTATTTAGTTAGTTATGAAATACATTTCTTACTACTGTTTGGTTGGAGGTTTCACTGTTTATATATATTATGTATATAATTTATTATATATAATTTATTATATATAATTTATTATATATAATTTATTATATATAATATATATGTATATAATATATATGCATATAATATATATGTATGTATGTGTATTGGAAAAGGAGAGGTAATATTGGGTAGCTAAGATTCGAACCCCCTTAGGAGCTAAAGTGTTTGACCTAGAAACTGTCAGATTTAATCAAAATATTCATTGTTTATTTGTGTACAATATATAATTCCCGAAAAATCATTGATGTACTACTATTTATATAAAGGATTTTTTTCTAAAAAAATTCAAATCACTTAATCTTACTCCACATGTGGGGTAAAACTGATTACACATGTTACACCAGAATTTCAGGGGGGAAATAACAGATATTTCTATTTTATATGACAATTTAAGGAAATTATACATGTAATTGGCATGAGATGAATTCAAGGATGTACTCAATGAGGGGAGAGTGAGAGACAATTGTTCTGGGGCCTGGGACTCTATACCAAATTTTCAAACCAAAAGCCAAAATTTCTTACAAAAAAAAATAGTTTTTTTAAGAAAATTGCAGAAAATTTCTTTATCTAAGTAATAACTATGATTTTGTATGAGGGGTTTTCAAAAATTCTACAAAATATGAAAATGCAGCTTTTTGTGCTACTTTGAAGAAGGGGCTGCAATAAATTTTGTCCCATAAAACCTGTGTTGAACTTTGGATGTAAGTGACGTCTTCTTCCGCTGCTCTGCAGCTTTCGGGGGCCCTACATAGAGACACATCAAGAGGGTGTCCGGTTTTAACCGAGAGCAGAGATGATCGACGGACAAGATTCTTTTGTGTGCTAAGGTATGAATCTATATTAAACCTGTAAGATGGACTAAAAGTAATTTTTATAACTCTTATAATCAATAAATAAGGATAGCTTAAAAATGAACTATCGAGAATTGACATAGTAAAACAAACTTTTCTACATGGATTCTATGAATTAATCAACAGCAAGCCAATATGGTAGGTCCTTCTTCTTCACTAGTAAATTATAATTCAGAGTTTATCCTCTAGACAATAGAACTAATTCCACAAAATCCGGGTACCCGATCTTACTCCTCTTTCCCCTATATATTGTATAGAAACAAAAAATGACTTAATTTGTTTAATATTTGGTACCAACCTTTGAAACTATTACTGACCACGTAGAATCTTTGGTTATATAAANTAAGCCTCTTGCTTGACCTGCCATTTTCTCATTGTTTCAAATTGTTTTATTAATCAAAATTGTTTTTCTATGCATCTGTAAATGATTACATAAAAAGAAAATTGCTCAAATTTTAAGAATTTCTTTTCTTTTCAAAAACTTCTTTTTTAATAAATATTCTGTTTTCACATTACCACTTATGCTTTTTTATGTAACCTAATTTAAAACAAAACGATTTAATACTTTCTTTTATTAAAAAAAAAATCTAATTTGTTGGTAATTTTCATGTATTTGATTTACTTTAATTATTTATAAAGTACAGTTCATATATATATAAAACATTTTGTACTTATAAAGAAAAAATCATTTTGATTGAAATTTGGTATCTAATGTTGAAAAATAACTAGTTTTTCATGTGGAACAGTGCTTGAAGAAATTTATCGTTAAAGTTTAGTAATCTTTAAAGAAAACAATTACCCCATTTTTCCCTCTTGCAATAATGACGGAAAAACAATAATATTCAAGTCGTAAATTAACACATTTTTTTGGATTAGTTTTTTTCCGACCAATTTTTTTTTTTTTTTTTTAATTATAACAAAATAAAGTATTTTACTTCTATCAATCAGAAGCTCCTTTTCAAAGAAATTAGTTTTTAAAAATGGGTTATTAACCAATAAAATTAATTTTAAAATGGTCTGGAACATATGGCCCCACAGGGTACATATGTACTACATCAAGAAATAGAAAATGCACTGTTACACAGAATAGATGTTAGGATAATTTTTGCCAAGAGAAGTTAAGAAGTCCATGCATTTGGCTATTAATGGCTGTAATTCATTACCAAGGCTCTTATCTTAGACTTACACAGTCAAATGTGTTGGCATAAAAAAAAGTTTCAGAATTGTTAAAGTATTTTAATGCAAATAACGCATTTAGCAACCGCACAACGGTTTTAAAATTCTATGGAAATGTCTAAAAATAGATTTTATTCTCTATTCAGTACAAGATTGCAAAATAAAAAGATTACCGATTATCAAGATTTTTATTTATTGAGAAAAGCATTAAATGAATATTAGTTTTTAATAATTATAGTTTTAAACTGATAGGAAATGTGTATATTAACTAAACATTGATGATTAATTCAAAAACTAGAGTTTAGTTTACAGTTGTTAACAATTTATAACACAAATCGGTTTAAGCATATTCTATTTTATTTGAAAAAAAAAGCATCTAAAAATTGAAATCTGTCATTTACAACATTGTAACGTTGTATCATTGACAAAATTATGTTTTTAATGTATTAATTGTATTTGTAAATTACAATTTCCATTTAATATTCTATGTAGAGTATAATTATGACTGAAAGTATAAAACTCCAAAAAGCCATGAAAATTGCTTTTCCATAAGATAATTAAAAATACCAATTTTAAATAACCTATTCAGTTTGAGTTTAAAATTTAAGTCATTAAATAAATTTAATTCAGTTTGATTAAATTATTTGATAATCAAGCATGTTCCAGGCTTGATTTCAATGTATCAAGCATTAAACTTTTGGTGGAATTTCTGACATTTTAAACTTTAAAATAAATTACACTTCTAAACTTAGTTTTTAATTTATTCTCTTAAATCATGGTTTATATATAAAGCTTAGCAGTTTTTTGAACTATTAATGTATACAGATAATTTTTTAAAAAATTAAACAAGTATGTAAATGTTTTCTTTTTGTGTAAAATAGTTTACTACACATTTTTATATATTTTTTCATGATTTGAGTTCATAAGCATTTTCAAACTTTTTGCCCTTTTCTTACTCTCATGCCTGAATAGTAATTTTTTTAAATCTATTCTTCTAGTTACTGAGACTTGGGAGCGAATAAATGCTGATGGAGTCATTCCGCCGCCACGAATCCGCCATGTTGCTGTTCCAAATCCTGCCTTTTATGATTCTGATGCTAAAATGCATGCTTGGGATGATCCTGTCATATCTGAGGAAAAAGTGCCAAATCGAGCGAATAATCCGCCCAAATCTATCTCCATGTGCTTTGGACAAACTGCTGCCGAATCTGAAAATAAGAAACATTTTAAATTCAAGGTCCATCCAGTTTCCAGATTTTGCAGTAAAAACACTGGTTCAGATGAAGATGATGACGAAGAATATACAGTGAGTTACAATCCCAGCTCCGCCCAAGTTAATCTCAAGTAAGATAGCTAAAATTAATGCATATTTACTTTTTAATTAACTTCTCATTTTAATTGTTATTGATTTACATACATAAGGATGAAAAATATGCAAGGAGTTATAATCTGTGCTGTACCTACGTTAAGTGCACAGTAGACTGATTATAAGACATGGTTCCCAGTCGATTACCTAAGTCAAGTAACGATGGCAGTGGTCAGTGATCAGGTGGCTGACCATTTCGATGAGCCTGCAAATGGACTAAGGATGCACGGTATTGAAACCAAACTGTTTCAGTGTAAAGTACTCAACTTCGTATGCAGGTGGTCAGGCTACCAGGGGAGACTGGTTGTTAGGCTATCAAATTGGGGGAGCCTGGTGGTTGGGCTACCAAAGTGGGGGAGCCTGGTGGTTGGGCTACCAAAGTGGGGGAGCCATCCCTTCTTCAGAGGATCAAAATTGTGATGGCATGTCTTTGGATCATTCTTAGGGTCTTTTCCTAGACCATTGCTAAAAGCTCATTGTGTAACTCTAGTGCAACGAAAATTAATTACTACNGATGATGACGAAGAATATACAGTGAGTTACAATCCCAGCTCCGCCCAAGTTAATCTCAAGTAAGATAGCTAAAATTAATGCATATTTACTTTTTAATTAACTTCTCATTTTAATTGTTATTGATTTACATACATAAGGATGAAAAATATGCAAGGAGTTATAATCTGTGCTGTACCTACGTTAAGTGCACAGTAGACTGATTATAAGACATGGTTCCCAGTCGATTACCTAAGTCAAGTAACGATGGCAGTGGTCAGTGATCAGGTGGCTGACCATTTCGATGAGCCTGCAAATGGACTGAGGATGCACGGTATTGAAACCAAACTGTTTCAGTGTAAAGTACTCAACTTCGTATGCAGGTGGTCAGGCTACCAGGGGAGACTGGTCGTTAGGCTATCAAATTGGGGGAGCCTGGTGGTTGGGCTACCAAAGTGGGGGAGCCATCCCTTCTTCAGAGGATCAAAACTGTGATGGCATGTCTTTGGATCATTCTTAGGGTCTTTTCCTAGACCGTTGCTAAAAGCTCATTGTGTAGCTCTAGTGCAACGAAAATTAATTACTGCTACTACTACTACCCAAATTAATCTCAGTAAGATAACTCAAATTAGTTCATATTTAACAACTCGTTTTAGTTTTGTGAGATTGATGATTTAAATAATGATGAAAAAGCTAAACTCACTTCAAAAACACAAATTAATCTTATTTATTTTTTGACTAACCAATCATTTTAACTGTATAAGGTGGTTGATTGTTTGTATAATATATAACGATGAAGAATATGCATTGAGTTATTATCTGAACTGGGTCCAAGTTAATCTCAAGTAACATGACCTAAATAAGCACATTTATATTTTATGATTTTTAGATGAGTGATTGAGTATATGAGTGATTGTTTGTTTATAATATAATTACATATTGTAATTGGTTTAACAAATATTCCTTTTAGAAATATAATCATTGTCTATACTTTTTTTGAGCCTCCATAGTTTCATTATATAAGTTTTTTTGAAAGTAAACTATCAAAAATTGAATATAAACTTATGATCAAAAATTTTTACTGTAAATTTTAAAAGTACATAGGAGGAAATAGTGTTCATTCCTTTATTAAACATTATTGATTAACCTTCAAAACATTAAACATCTGAGCAAATTTTGCTATTCAATTTATAAAATTTGATTATTTATTGTATGTGCACTACAAATTAATTTGAAATATTCAAATTAATTACATTTGTTTGTAACATGGCAGTTAAACTATACCTTAAATAATTGTTAATAACATTTCTTATTGACTTTCTCTTATAAAGTTTTTCTATTCTTATTTATTTTAATTTGTGATTGCAAAATAAATTCATATAGTTGGGTTTTACTAAAAAGTTTCTAAATCAAGTCATAATTATAAATTAACAGTTTATCAAAAATATTTTTTTTTAAATAAAAACAATTTTATAAAAAATTTACATTAACAAATTTATGATCGCTTTTGAATAAATTTATAAAACAAATTGAAATCATTAAATTTAAATGTGAAATCATATAAAGTTTATTTTTATTTTCATATTGCATAATTTTCATGTTAACTTTATTATTACCCCTGTACTTGTCTTTGGTGTAATATTACGTGATATGGTATTTTGTGCACCCCTTTTTTATCCAATAATATGCTCCAGTTCAGTCCTCTTATTTTTGCCACATCATTTTGTTCTCTACATCTTGTCTGCATGCTAGCAAAGACAGATAGAAAAGCAAGTAGCATTAAAGCAGGTATCGGATTAATATTTGTGTGAAAATTATAACTTGACCTTAAACTTTCTCATTAAAATTTAAAACATTCTATAACCAAATTATGTTTTACATAATTATATGATGTTTAAACAACCTCAGATTTGCCTTTCTTAAGCAAATGCAGATCTGAAAAATGTCCCAATGCTCCCCTCTCCCTCTTTTTTTGCCAAACTCTAGTTATAAAATCATTTATAATGTCATACATTGTAATCATATAAACTATGTCATCTTACGTAATGTTATTTATTGTGTAATATCACCAATTCCGGATTTTGTGCTTTTAAACAATTCAATTTAGTGATATTTTAAAATATGTGAAATGTTCTATTCCAAAGTACGTTAAAATTTCTAAAGTGCAACTTTGCTTAGAAATTACTGAATTGATTATCAGAAAAAAAGTTTTATTTTGTTATGGTAGATTTTTTATCCTCAGGTATTTTGAGAAAGTTAAATTTTATTATATTAACAAAATATTTATCTTAAAAAATGCTCTATTATAAAAAAAAAGAAATTATAGAAAAACTTCTTCAAAATTGATTCAGTGTTTTTTGAGAAAGAGGTACATAAAAGTTGGACATTTTAACATGGACTCGGATTGAAAATTTGACTCCCTTTAAAGTTTTAAAGCACCATTCTTTAACTTATATTTTATGTTTGACAAATGTTTGCAAATGTATTTATATGCATACCTTTTTTTTAGGACTTTGCGTGATAAGTTTCATAGCAGCCGGCTGGTGCGCAGTATATCAAGTGGCAGTTACTCCATCCTTCACAACAACGTTATTACTGAAGCTCGCAGAGATGAACTGGAGAGATTAGTAGAAGAAAGTACACCTCACCACCGACCTCGATTAAAAATCCAAAAATCACAAAGTTCAGATGCAGTGTTGGAGTCTGACAGTGAAAATGCAACTCCTCAACATCAAGGAAAATCCAACCAAGCAGGGAACATTACTGATTCTCCTCCACTATGGGTGGAAAACCCCAACACATTGCTCAGATCATCCTGGTCCGAATCGACATTCCAACACAACCGATATACTCCACCTGTAAATTCAAATAAAACGAACGGTACAGAACACAACTCGTGTACAACTCCCACTGCTAGGCTTAGTAGACTGAGTTATGATTTTTCCACAGTGCGTGACATAATTGAAGAAAACAGCGAGAATGCCGATGAGCCGAATATGGTAGAAAGTTCAATGAATAATGAAAATAAGAACCCTAACTGCAATGATGTCAAAGGAACTGAACTTCTGATTGATTTGGGGGATAATTCTTCCAACAGCAGCAGCAACTTTAAGTCTAGTCATACAATATCTGACTTTGTGAGTCAAACCTTCACTCCCAGTATTGAATCTCGTGGTCTTCCCCATTCTGTGTCTCACAGCTCTGGCTATTACTCATTTAATGAAGAAGACAATGGATCTGATTGCCATCGTGAGTTTGCAGGTTGCTTAAACTCGTCTTCAACCCGTAAAAGATTGCTGAAAGGACGGGACTTAGAGCTAAAGACGTTCTCCCCTAATGACCCCCAAAACCATGTCAATGGTAGCAACGAAATCATTCTTCCACCACCCCCTTCCAAAGAACGAGCTCGATCTCTGGACAGAACTTCTCAAAGGAAATTGATTCGGAGCTACCCATCCGGTGGTAGTATTACCCCAACAATTTTGATGTCAACCAGTATTGTAGAGGACAGTTTTGTGTCTCGTATTGAGCGTGTACCTAAATCTGAGTCATATTGTGTTCCAACCAAAAAACCTGAAATCGAATCCCCAAATGCTCATTGGTCTCTAAGCCCACGGAAAACTAGACCAGAGCAACATCAATGGCAGCTTTGTTTGTATATGTTTGGAGGCCGTGAACAAACTGCTCCAGGCGTGTACAGGCAACCTATATCTATATGGAAGTTTTATGTTTAAATATAACTGCCAATGAAAATGGTTAAATATCTAGTCTTTTAGTTAATTTTATATAATGTGCAATATGTTTTTATGTTTTACATTTTTATTTTGCTGTTAGTTGTAAATATATCAGAGATTATTTTTAAAAATATCATGTTTACCAAAAAGAAATGACTATTTATTTTAAAATCTATTCCTTTGCATATAATTTTTCTTTACCAAAAATTAAGATTCATATCGAAAAATAAAATTTAATGCTCTGTGAACAAATATTGTACAAAAAAAATGTGCTAATTTTTTTTTAATTTAAAAACAATTTTCAGTTCATATTATGTTTCATACTATTTAAAAATTTTTAACCCTTTAACTGCTGCACTAATTGTACAAAAATTGTCCTGGTAAACTTAGCTTCTCTTTTGAATAATATGAAAAGGAATCAATTCACTGTGCCATAAATGTTGCGCCCAAGGTCAACAGTTAATGGGTTAATACCAAATTATAGGGGACCTGCACCCAACTGGAAATCTAATAAATTAAAAACTATTTTAATTGTTAATAATTTTTATTCTAAATAATAATTTTTACTTTTGTGATATAACTGAGATCCGAAATTGTATTTTTAAATGTAATGATTTAATATGTTTACAAGATTAAAAAATACGAGATATTTTTTAAATTATTTTGCTTTCATACCATATAAATAACTAAGGCATAATTTTTATAAGATTTTTTTTAAGTTAGCTGTTAAAAATTGAAATTTTATGCCCAAAACTTTTGGTTTTGTTACATTAAAATTATTTGAAATTTTCTAATGGAAGTATGTAAAAATAATTTTCAAAATTACAATAAAATTTTTCAATATTTTTCAAATAATTTAATAAATATTTTTTATAATTACACCTCTTGGGAAAATTTTCATGGGCACCCTGGAGAAAATTATTATGGTGCTTGTAAAATATATGAAAAGTTTGATTGGATATAGTATCTAATAGTTAACATTTAAGTAAACCCTGGAATTATATATTTATTCCATTATTAGTATAATTGAACATTTTAATTACTTATTAAATAAACATAATTCTGAAAAATTATATAGTTATGATTATGAAAATAACTAAAAAAATTAGTCAATTATGATCAATTTATCTAAATTTTTGAAAATCATTGCAAAAATTGGGATAAATTGATCATAACAATCTGTCATTAATTAAGCAAGTTTATATTAAGAGTGTTTGTTTTTATCTAAATATGCAGTATTTATTTTATTGAAAAGTTTTAGATATAAATTTCTTAACTGTTTTTTACTTTTGTTATTATTTTTAGAAGTTGTTTACTATTTTATTTTTTTATTAAGTATAATTGCTATACATATATTTAACTAATTATATCATGTTTCCTCTAATCAATTTGAGTATTAGAATATAAATGTTTGATCTTAACTTATTTTTCAAATTAAATTTTGTTTGTTTTAAATTTTGTCAATTATATATTTGATTTAAGGAAAATGTCTAAAATAACAATTTATTCAGATATTTTTAAAATATACAATTTCCCAACACAAAACATTTATATTGGTTTAAAAATTATAATATTTCCTTAAAAAATAAACAAAATTAATAGGATTAAATGATCGGTTAATAAAATTAATGTTTAGAAAAAAAATTTTAAAAAAAAAATGTTATTTAAGAAAATAAACAGTATACTATTTATATATACATGAGCTAATTTTTTGTCTTGTCTGCTTATGATAATTATAGAAAGTCTTTTTTTTTATTACAACCGATTATTATAATTTACTTCAGCTTAATAATAGTAAGTAAATTGTTCATACTAAATAAATTAAATCATAAGTAATTAAATTTAAAATTAATTAATTTTTAAAAGTTTCTTTTAATTATAAAATATTTCTTTACTGAAAAAGATAACTTCCATAAAAATATTTAGATGCATTTGCATATCATAGGGATAAAAGAAATAAAAATATAATAATTTCAGAAAACTTGAAAATCATTAAAAAAAAACTTCACCATCAATTCTAGTCAATTAAATTCACTATAGAATTATAAGATTTTGTAAGCTTTGAAGACTAATAGTTAAAGTATTTTATTATAATAACTAATAAATCATTGATTGAATAAAAATTTTCATAAACCATAGAAATCAATAGTTTTATACAAGATTATTATATATTTTATCAATCTTTTATTAACAAATATTTAACTTCTTAGCTATGTAGTTAAAAGTTTCCATGACTATCTTCATTTCATTTAGCAGTTAGGCAAATCTACATAAATTAATATTCATTACATGCTGGCTTCAATAAAAGCTAAAAATTAAATATACTGTTCATTGATATATTTTTATGACAAATAATCATGAATCTCATCTTCATAATTACTAGTATTAATATGATGTTGACATAATCCAAAATTGGCTTCACATTCCTAAAAGACTATCTGTAATACAGCTTTAGCACTAATTTAATTATTCATTGATATCTCTTTATGGCAGATAATCAAAAATCTTATCATTAAAGATAGTTAAGTATTATAAAACTTCTGAAAATTACAGTCCAAAGATTTCCTGCCATTTTTCTTAAATATGCCATTTTTCTTTAAAGCAAATGATGTGCTTATTATTACATTAGAAATTATACATATTGAACTAGGGAATATTTATTTTTTTGTACAAAATTATCGTTTCCATAGATTAAAGAATTTTTTATGTAATTAAATGATGATTAATATGTGTCTGACCTTTTTTAAAATACTTTAAACAAAGACCGGTTTGCCAAACTTTTAAAATGTGACAAGTTTCGGAAAGAAACAATATAGGATACAATCGATCATTTTATACATTTTTTTTTTCTTTGTAAAAAAAAATCGATTTAAGAAACAGTGAACTGGTTTATTAATACTGTAAAGATAGAAATTAAAATAACTACTGTTGCTTATCTAAACATCAATTAATCGTATTATCTTATCCAGATAAATCAAAGTCGAGTCTTTTTATCTTGCCTTCACAAAAAAATTTAATCTTTTTAATGGAAGCTCTACTATAAGAGGAAAAGGCAATGGTGTGCTTTACGTTTTATTTTCCATAAATATCTCTTCTTTTTTTAAAAAAAACAAAAAGAAATTATTTTTCAAACTATTAATTATAATTTTTTAAGACTATAATCTAATTATCAAATTAAAAAAGTTATTTTTAATAATATGTGCGTTAAAAATTAATTGTTATCCGATTAAAACATTCAAAAAATGCTTTCATTTCATTTATTTATTTTTGTGTTTAAATTAAAATTTTATATTTATTTTATGTTTTATACATACATTTATATGTATAGTTTTTTTATAAATTTATATTTTTTGCTCCTTATGTAAATTTTTTACTTTAATATTTACTCTAAAATTAAATGTTGAATTAACAAATGTGTTATTAACACCGCTGCTTTTTTTACATGGTCAATATTTTTTTCCAAATTAACTCAATTTCTATAAATTGGTTTATTTATTTCTCTATATTGTTTAAATTTATATCATCTATGTTCTATTGTGCAGCTATGAAAAATTCAAAAACTAGAAAAATGATAACTGTTTGAAATATATAACTGCATTTCTTTTAACTTGAAATCTACAGTAAACTATACTTAAATATTTAAAAATTAAAATATCAAAAATAAAAGTTTTATGCCACATAAGAAATATGATTTTAAGCAATGTAAGAAACACCTACTGCTAAATCAAAAAATCTTGTTTAAACATTAAATGATATTTAAAGAAAAAAACTAGAATAATCTGATTTATGCAATAATTTTTTTGAAACTTACATCTCCCTTAATAGAGATTTTACGATATGTGTAAGTTAGAAGGCTAGTGATTGTTAGCTGAGAACAGATCTGAAATGTTTACTAGATTAGTCTATGGTTTGTAAATGCATGTGATTATTATTATTATTAGTTCCAGAAGTAGTTAGATTGAAATAAACTTTTCAGTTAAACTATTAAAAAAATTATTTATATAGATATTGCTCAAAAGTATCTATAATTTTTTTTTTCTTTATAATTAATTCTTTAAATATATAAAACAAATATTTAAGGAATAATAATCGATTAAATATATTTACTTTTTTTTATGAAAAAATAACACTCACCCAACCGAAGCATTTTGAATTTGAACAGAAGATAATTTTTTTTTTTTATGGAAATCTTTTTTTTTCCTTCATACCTTTTCTTTTATTTTTATATGTTTAGAAAAAATTGAAGTTTTAACTATCAAATAAATAAAAAACTTTATGAAACTTCATGAAGAATGTCATAGAAAGTACAAAAAATACCTAATCTAATTTGATAAGATGCTTTGAATAAAAATTATAGCAAGTTAATTCTGTTTAAGTCGTTATTTGTTTTTATAGTGTAAATTTTGAAAAACAAAATTTTGTTTATTATTGACTATTATGCATTATTTTTCATAAAGTTCTATTGTAAAAACACGTTAACTTTACATCTGTTTTACAGTTACAATTTGTTACAGTTTAGATTATTATTTTTTTAGTGCTGCATTTCAATGTAAACCAAAATTTATTAACCTTATGTGCTAACATTACTGTGTGTGAAAATTGTAAAATACATCAATAAAATGTTTCAATTATTCAATTTATCTCATTAATTATTAATATTTATATACATAGAGGATGCTTTTATATCTTTAAAGAAAATATATCTTTAAAGAAATCAAGTAAAAGTATATGTTTTTGTGACATACACTAGAAATATGTACAAAATGTAACATACCCAATAAATACATATTTTTTTTTATATTTTACAACCGCCGTTGAACAGCCCAGTTTTGGGTTTATGACTACTAATGTTCAACTCTGTAGCTTTTTGATTTTGAACCAATCTAGAAGACATGGAAACTCCTGGACCAGTACCCCCAGAGTAGGCATGATTTGTAATGAAGACGTGGGGGACTTAAGAGACTCGACAGATTTAGTGTTCATCAGTCACCATTTACTACACGGGGAGTCTTCGGTCGACGAGGATCGAACCCATGACTTCTTGGATATGGGCCCAGTGCCCTACCAACCAGGCTATCCCAGCCCTACAATAAATACATAAAAAAAAGTAATAATGATATATTTTAGATTGCTTAACTTTGACTTAGCAGTCACGGAAGAAATATTTTGAATTTAAAAAAAATACACATAGACTTTAGACTAAATAAAAAAAATATTTCAAATTGCACCATATTCTTTACGAAATATTTCAAATAAAGACAGAGGGTACAGGACACTCCGTTGCCATGGACAAAAAGAATAAAGGTTCCTTTTTTTTTTATTGGAAAACAGAAGTGTTTCTTATTAGGTAGGCAATAAGTGCTTAAGTTGTGTCCTTGAAAGGATACTGAGGAAATGCAATTCTTTGAGGGTAAAGCAATAGGGCCCCAAAGGAAGAAAGAAAGGAATGTCTCTTAGTATTTTAATTCACACCACATACTTAAGCTTTTGTTCCCAACAATGGGAATAAACATGTGGAAAAAAAATCTTATTTATTAGAAAAGAGTGTATTTCTCAATAATAAAAAGGTCACTAATGGTATAAGAAGTGAAATAAAGAGTCTGAAATTTTAGGTGCTAGAAAAGATTTTTTCTAAAAATTATTTAAAATTGAAATTTAGGAAACAAAAATTTTCTAGGGTGGGCCAACGAACTTCTAGAGTGGGCCTGGCCCCCTACCTACTTCTGCCAATGACTTTGGGTTAACTCCCTTAACAGCTAATCAACTCAACTGTTTCTGTCTTTAGATAGGATGTTTATCTTTTTAAGCAATCTATGAGAAAGTGATGTTTAAAAAAAATACACTATATTGGGCATCTGACACTAGTCTCTTTGTTAAATAAACATTCACATACTTGGGCTGTCACCCTTAACTAATCTGTTAAACTATTTTGTTTTAAGGAGTAGTAAAAAACTACTGCCATATTACATTATATCTAATGCTAGTACCAGTAACATTAATTAAACATCAATAATATTTTGGCCTTTTTTTACCTCACACCAAACTGGCGTATATCAAACTTGTCTAACTCAGCGTTTAAAGTAGATGTTTATCTTTCCGTGAAATACCTGGGAGAACTTAACATGCAGCACTTAACACAATCAGGTATCTGACACTAGCCAGATAAGTCTCTTTTTTTTTTTCATAATATAGATCTTCGAGAACATCTACATACAAGTATACATACAGCTTTGTTTATACTTTTTATTATTATTATTTACAATTTTTTAATTATCACATCAAACAATCAGTCTATACATGTGACATTGCATGAATAGATAATATTCTTTCATCGAATTTAAAACAAACTTTTCTCACTCAATTAACCACAATATGTCCATGGATATGTTATGTACAACAATCAAATAAAATAAATCAAGATGATAAATCATCATGATCAGTCTTATCTGGCCCAGGACAGTTTTGTTCCAAGTCATCAAAGTCATTATACTTTATAGAACACCAAAAGCAATAGAAATAAGTAGGTCTTAAGTATTCGGTAATTATTTCAACTTTTTCCTCTGCACTAAGATCATCTTCCTCATCTTCTTCCTCTTGTTCATCACATTCTTCATCAAGTTCTTCATCTTCCTCCCAAGTATACCAAAACCAAGATCTTGATGGTTCTTTTATGTCATTTTCTTTATCTAATTGCTCACATATTTTCTGACACTTATGTAGATCCTTCATTAAACGTTTATAGGTCCTAGCATCTCTCATTCTTTGACGAAACTCCTTCGTTAAAATTTCAGTTTCCTTTTCCTTGTAAACTTTTAATTTTTCTCGCCTCTCTTTAATCCTTTCAATGTGCTTTTTAACTTCTTCGTCCCTGCCTAAACCACCGCGGTCCTTTTTTATATTGATACGAATGGGTTCCATCAGACCACGGTCAGACGCAGTATCCTTTTGTGGCCCTAGTTTCATGCCTGGTTTATATCCCATTTTCTGAAGCATTGCAAAACCTTTATTATTAGAACTAATGGCTGAATCCATACCTGTGTTTCTGGATTCCTCTTCAAGCTGTTTGCGAGATTTTGTTTTGTGAAATTCATTGGATGCAGTTTGCTTCTTTTCAATTTCCAACTTTCTCTTAGTACTTTTGCAAAATGCCAAACCTGGACGAATATCTTCTTTCACATTTAGAAATGAAGCAGACATGTAATCATCCTCATCATCAGACATCTGTAAATTTTTAAAAAAAAAGAAAAGTTTTAAGATTGATTGATTGATGGTTTTAGTGGCACAAGGTTCAAATGAGGACATGCTGCGCCACACAATACGGTATAAATAGTTTAAAAGTGCATGCAAAATTTAATTCCAGCACAATTATAACTGATAGAACAGTACTAGTAAGTGAATAAGACAAGATAAATGAGTTAAATAAAATCAGATAAAAAGTATGAGTACAGCATAAAACGCATGGAGTAAAATGTACGAAGGTGGTAAGATATTTACAAAAGTGTATAAAATAGTAGATGTGTTAAAATTTTTATATGCAGTTAAAAATATCAATAGCGCGCAAAAATGTTAGGATGCTGAATGTCATTCAATAAATCCTGTATACATAAAACTGAACTCCCAAAGAAGGTAAAACGTTGTTGGTTAAAACATGGGCAAATGATTAAAATTTGATGAATTGTAAGTGGAACATTACAAGTATGGCATTGAGGAGAAGGTTCTCCAAATAGCAAATGAAGATGCGTTAACCGGGTGTGACCTATTTACAGACGGGTAAGCTTAACGTCAGCACTGCGCAAGTGCAGCACAGGCGACTGGTCTAAATCTGTCTTAATATTATATAGTTTATTAAAAGTTTGGAGGTCCCAACTTTGTCGCCATAAACATGTAATAAATCGTGGAACATGAAGCTTAACATGAAAAGTTTTAAGATTGATTATACATAGAAAACACAATTGTTTCAATTTTGCTTCTTTTTTAAACCTAAACTTGAAAAATTTAAATAATACAACCACAATGCTAGTTGATCTGCAATTGCAATTAAGTGGAGTCAAATTATTCACCTTATAAGATTCAGTGCAAGACAGATATTTTATGAGCCCATTTACAACATTAATTATAAGCCTCTGTATCAAAATACAATAAATCTAATTTTCATATTTCATAAACATTAAAAATATACTTGCTTTTTAATTCATAGTTCATAGCAAGATTATTTACTAATTATGAAGAGTTCTTTGAGTAAAATTGTTACTTCCTCTGAGTGTCTTTGCACACTTTAAAAATATATCTATTAATTTCAATCCTTTCTAATAGATCTTACTTTTTTAAACAGATGCTCCTAATATTTCCTCTCACCCAAAGTCTACTGAAAAAGAAGGATAGATCTGCTTCTTCTTTCTCCATATAAGCTCAACAGAAGTTATTTTTTTCATTTGGAATTCTAATCCTATGATCAAGCTAGCACCAGGGCCGGATTTACGTATAAGCTAAATAAGCTGTAGCTTGGGGCCCCGAGATGGCAAGGGCCCCCAGATCCAACTTTTTCCTTCTTTTTTTAAAGTTTTATTCAAAGCTGGAGCCCTCTGAAAACTAAAATACATTTTTTTTTCTTTTTTACATTGGCGAACGCTTTTCAAAATCTAATAGAAGTGTTTACAAGTATAAAATAATTGTTACTCTTCACTTTTTTAACCAAAAGAGCAATAAAAAGGCCTTTTGACTGATGAAAATATCCTGTAGCTTTCGTAGCTACCAGTGATGGGAGTAGTCCATGGATCCTAAAAAGCGGTACTCCATGGAGTAGTCAAATAGCCGCCTCAATTTACACTGTGGGAAATGTTTTCAGCTTCTTTAAATTGCTGTGGGCTCTTTTGTCCACAGAAACACCCTTTTGTCTGATTTCTGGGCAAAAAATTTCTAGGGCTGTGGGAGAATCTTGTTTAGGGTCACTCTGTTTCGAGATTTCCGTTGTGTCTCATTGTCGTTAAAGAGCTTCTCGTTTAATTTTAACTTTTCTTTTTTGCAAAATATATTTTTTCCAATTTATTACAAAAGCTTTTTTTCCTTTTAATTATCCTAAATGTTTTAACTAGCTTAATTGTTTAATTTACTTAATTATTGTAATTGATTTTAATTTGTTATTTTCCAAATTAATCGTACATGAATCCGTGAACTCCTTTCTTTATTTATTTAAATGGTGGGCCACTATTCAATTCCCTCTTTGACAGGCCTATCTGCCAAAATTCTTGATTTGGTCTATTTTGGATGAAATTGAGATAACAGATGTGGTTTTACTTTAATTTTACTTACTGCTAATAGACAGAAGCAACATGTGATATTGCTTGATAGAGCATTGAAATCAAGTGATCATCAGCTAAACAAATGTTTAAATATAATGTAAAAAATATTGTTCAAACCTCTTGTCTGACCAAATTTATAATTATTTGTCTGACCTCCATTATTTTCAGTAGCTTAGGGCCCCGCCAAGCTTAAATCCAGCCCTGGCTAGCACCATCTCCATTTGAAGATCTCTATACTTTTAATTTCATTTTTTTTTCCAAAAAATTTTTATACATGCATTATGGTCAAAAATTTTTGAATGTAAGTCTAAAACATTACACAAAAATTGCAGAACATTACAAATATATTTTTAAGAAATATAATTTTATAAATTATTTTTCTACTACAGAGTATATATTTTTTAATTCGATTTTCTATTCATATCTATTCATTCGGCATTCTATTCTGAAATTTATTCTATTCATTCCCCACAACTTTATTGGGGAGCAGGAGCTAATATGAAAATCATCCTTGAAATCTTGTCCTTTTTGAATTTAAATTTCCAAAGCTAAGACAGACACATAGATTTTTAATGAAACAACAATTAGTAAGATTTCCATATCAGTAAGTGCAACAAAAAAGTTACTTAATTTTGGAGACAACCAAGAAGTTGCACGCGCATACTAAATATATTTTCACTCTCGGCATACAAATATATCGTTGGTGGCCAAGTTTATACTAAACATTTGCAAATTCAAAAACTCTTGGTTGGCATGAACAGATACGTAAATATCCCCAAAATCAAAAAAAAAATTTATATCATAAGCAAAGAAATTGTCAAATTAATAAATCATTTAATGTTTAAGGAGATACGGAAAGATCCCCTAATGTTCTATAAGGAGCACATACAAAAGACAGCAACAGGTAGAAATAAAATGTAAAGATTAAAAATGTGCAAGAGTCTGAAATCTTTAATTGAAAATTAGCAAAAGCGATCTAGAGAAAAAAAGTAAAAATATTTAATTGGTGCAATATAAGAAAAAAAAAAGGAATGATAAAATAAACTTTTTACCTTTTTATTTTAAAAGAATAAAAGCAAAAATCTGAGCAGATCTGTTACTGAAACTTAACATGAAAAATAATGTATCATTTGTTTATTTATATTTGAGCCCACTCATAATATTCAATAAATCAATAGAATGTTTTCAGTTTTTCTTTAGGCAGTCTAATCAATAAAAAAATTTATTATTTCGAACATAAACGGAACACAACGTTTAAACGGAACAGAATCTTCCATCATTATTGGATTTCTCAATGCTTCGTTCATGCTGCCATCTATTGTTAGTTTAACGAAGCTTTTGTCCCCCTTTTAATAAATAATAAATATTTATTATAAAAAAAGATATTTATATTTCCAAAATTATTTTTTTTTAAAGTAATACGCAATCTAAAAATTTATATTAAACTTAGAAAAAAATCTATCAATTAAATAACAATTTGATTCAATAGTAGGAAAAGAATTTAAAAAATTTAAGTCAGATGCAGGAAACTAATAAAAGATAACAGAATTCATGAAATATTGCAAGACAGAAAAATTAATTACCTACTTATCACATAAAATAGTTTTCATTCCGACTCGAAATAACTTTTCTGAAATAAAGGCGATAGAATGTTGCCCTGCATTGTTTCCTTGAAAGAAAGAAAAAAGGAACGAATGAAAAGATACGATAACATGTAGTCAAATTGCAATGAAATTCATATGATTATACATTATGACTAATAAATTGACAAACAAAATTGACATATACTGATAGATCAGTTTTTTCTTTGACGTTTAGCAAAAAGGTTCTACTATGGAGGTGCCGGGGTTCGAACCCGGGGCCTTTCACATGCGAAGCGAACGCTCTACCACTGAGCTACACCCCCACATTCGAAGAATTACTAAAATTTATTATATATTTAACTTATTTTGTGTACATTTTCAGCAATTACATTCAAAATTTTATATATAATAAATGAATTTTTGAAAAATTTTCATTCTGTAATAAAAATATATATCCTAAACTGTATTTATAATTAAAAAAAACTTAACAATATCCGAGTTAGAGAATACTAAAATGGAGGTGCGGGGGATCGAACCCCGGGCCTTTCACATGCAAAGCGAACGCTCTACCACTGAGCTACACCCCCGATGTTAAATGGTAATAAAATATAATATATAAAACTGTAAACTGGAATTTGTGTTTTACATTTATGATTTTTTTATGATAAAATCTTTTTCATTGAAAAAAAAAGAATTTTCATTTATCTTTTTATAAATAGGAAATAACTCTGGATTTATGTGAAGAACTTCAATTTCATTTTTCACAATCAGATATAGATTGTCTCTAGGTCAATCTTTGATCGGATTGGACGCAAAACGGTTCTGCGCGCGCTTATAGCCTTGCTCCTATCAACCATCAATTTTTTTTTTAAACAATCATCAGACAGATGTCAACAAAGATGGCGGACTTAGAATAGCAGTTTCATTGCGTACAAATCAATTTTCAAAGATTAAAGGAACTATTGAATCATGGCTTCCACATCTAATATATCTATAAACTCCGAAAATAATGCTGTGCTCATTGATCAATTTTGCTCGGTAACTGGAGCGGATAAAGATAAAGCAATGAAAATGTTGGAAGTATGCAACTGGAATCTTGAAATGGCCATCAATATGCATGTAGACTCCTGCCCCGAGAATCCTCAGAATAGTACCAGTAATGGAACGGATGAAGATAACATCAGAGATCCGATACCCCAATCCAGAGCTGTGCTTATGGAAGAGGATATGAATTTCCATTACGGTCTTAGAAGAACCAAACGAAAACCACACGCAGTGTTTGATGGATTACGAGATTTCCAAGCTGAAGCCCAATTGCAAGGTCAGAATGGACAAAATGAAAGTAGTATGTCGAAAAAAAGACGGACTTTAGAAGACCTTTTTCGACCACCTTTAGATATAATGTACAGAGGTAGTTTTGAATCCGCAAGGGATTTTGGACAAGTGTCAAACAAATGGCTTTTGGTAAATCTTCAAAACGCCCAAGAGTTTTCATGCCAGATCCTAAATCGTGATGTCTGGAGCAATAAAACTGTAAAGTCTCTAATAAAGGAAAACTTCGTTTTCTGGCAAATTTATCTGGACAGCAGTGATGGACAAAGATATACACAGTTTTATAAAGCTTTCAAATTCCCTCATATTTCTGTTTTAGATCCACAAACTGGGGAAAAACTTGTAGAATGGAATGAAGTTACTTCTACCAGTATAATAGAATTAATCACACTGTTTTTACGTGAGCACTGTGCACCAGATGGATCAAGAGTTACAGTAGATCAAAAAAGACGTTTCAGTGTGATTGATCAAAGCGAAGAAGAGCAACTAAAAGCTGCTTTAGCAGCCTCACTTAAAGATGTAAAGCCGAGCACAATCGTTATAGATGATGACAGTGACATCGAAACATTTGATTCAGATTCAGAGAGTACTAATGACAAAGTGTCTATAGTGAATCTTAATTCAAATGAAAATTCCAATGATGTGATAGATGTTGTTGGACTCCCTGAAAGCCTAAATCAGGAAAGTTCTCTACCTGCCAAATCCTGGAAAGATTTCTTGGGAAGCAAAGATGATCAAGTGTCCGATTTAGTACTTAGGCTTCCAGATGGGAAAAAAGAGCAAGTTTCATGGCCATGTACATCAAAATTAGAATGCCTTTTGCTTTATGTTGAAGAAATCGGTTATGCTTTGGAAAATTATGAACTTGTTACCAATTATCCACGCCGTAACATTTGCCAATTAGATAAATGTAAATCTCTCCAAGATGTTGATTTGTTTCCCCGAGAAATGATTTTTGTGCAGTTAAAAAATCATGATTCTTAATGACAGTTTAATTTTTACTTACAATTTTGTTTAATAATAAAATTTGAGAAGCATGTATAATATCTAAATTTGTTAAAATCTTTTATATTATTACACTTCCAGGGGTCTGTCTAGGCTGAATTTACTACCATTTAACGGTACCTTCACAAATTCAACTTTAGGAAAACCGGTAGTTTCACAAATTAAATTTTAGGAAAAACAGTAGTTTCACTACATACTTTTTCTTAAAAATTTATTTTTGTATCGCTTAAGAAATGATAAATCCATATTTTTGTGTTGATTTTTAAATATAATTTTTAATTTTTCACAAATTATGTCTAAATTTTCACAAAATAGGTACCTCTCAGAAAAACCTAGACAGACACCTGACTTCAGAAAAACAATATTTAAATTTATATACAGACTAATTTACATTATTATTAAAAAAAAAAAAAACAATATGCAGAGTTTGTAGCTGTCCGGATTTTCCTGATAAAAAAATATTTTTTCCTGATTTTTAGAATTTTTGTTCTGTTATTCCTGATTTGTGGGTGTCCAAATCTAAAATATCCGATTTTTAAATAATATAAATGCAGATTTTTAAAAAATAGTTTGAAAAATTTTTAAAAATTTAAACTTGCTATTCAATCTTTTTGTTTTAATTTAAAATGCTAGAAGAAATTGTGAAATTGAATAAATCGAATTTCAAGACTGTCTACTACTTATATAAGTGATTCAGGCATATATATCAATTCCCATAGCATCAAATTACTCTGCTTATCTATCCATATCTTGATGACTATGGGTGTAGGTGGAAAGAGAAGTTAACTTGTTTGAATTTGGTTATAAATGCTTCATAGTGTATATTTCCTAGAATTTTGGGTAGCGTTTTTGAGATTAAAATAAGATGTAACCAATGGATGGCGGACGCTACAAAAGTGGTCATAACTTATAACTAAGTTAAGAAGGTGGTGACTCTCAAATCAAACTCTTTCTCGACATTCAATCAGGAAACTTTTACTAAGATGCGCTTAAATTTTGTTCAATCTTTCTGGCTATTTTCAGAACTTATAGTAAATTTTGAAATACATTTTTATTTTAATTTAGTGGAATGTTTCTTTTTTTTTTTCGTACATTATCGTATTTACCTTTAATTATCATTTTATTCAATTTTTATTACAAATTTTCATACCTACATTTAAATCGTGACACTTTGTTGTGAAAATTATTCATTTATATATGATTCATCAATAGAGTTTTTTAATAATTTCAAAAACACCCTCAAAGAATTTTATTTATTTGGAGATTAGTTCATAACTTATTAAATTAAATGGTGTAAGTAAAGGCGAAGAAATTGTGTGGCTAAATTTATTTAGTGGAATATTTCTTTTTTTGTTATATATACATTATCGTATTTACCTTCAATTAATATTTTATTCAATTTTTATTAATTTCCATACCTACATTTAAATTGTGACACTTAGTTGTGAAAATGATTCATTTATTTATTTTCAATAGAGTTTTTTAATAATTTCAAAAACACCTTCAAAAAATTTTGTTTATTTGGAGATAAGTTTTTAACTTATTAAATTAAGTGGTGTATGTAAAGGCTGAAATTGGATTATATTTCAAATGCCAATTATTTCATAAAATAGTTTTCTCTATCGTTCTTATAATCGTTACATTGTTATATTTAATACAAAATAACTATTATTAAAAAAAAAGATACTTAAATTTTACAAAAGCAGTTACTCTAGACATATGATTAAGAACTTCAAT